AGCGGCCGGACTCAGATCGGCTGCTTCGGAGCGGATCGAGGGCTCAAACTCTTGGCTCATCTCGACGCGATCGGTTCGCGGAGGGAAGCGGAAGTCTTCTCGGAGATCGGACTCCAGGGTCTTCTAGGTCGGGAGACCACTGTAGCATAAACACCCCCAACGGAGAGGGGTGTATGCACAGCTCGACGCAGACCCCGTCCGAACGGGAAGACGGGGGTGAAGCCGGACACCAGCCAACGGCACCGGGCAGCGGGCCCGGGTAGCGTGGTAGAGCGGGAACGGGGAGGACGTCGGTACGCGCGAGCGGTTCGACGCCTCGACGCCCCGGCGCGGTACTGGGTGACGATCCAGTACCGACGGGCGGAGGCGGAGCCGGCTCGTGGGCGTACCGCGCGCGTCCTCAACTCGCGCTCGGTGCCGCTCTAAGGTAGTTAGCGAGCGCTACCTTAGAATAAGCGGGAAGTCGGACCTTGACGGTCGGTGGGTGACAAGTCCCTGCTTGTCCTCCTCCACCGCCGCCGGTCCGCTCCATATTTAATGTACATAATAACCTATCATAATAGTACAGTACCGATGTACTGTAGCGGTCGGTCGACACTGTAATACGGTCAGCCATCGGGGCTGACAGTACACGTGTGCGCGCGTTCTGCGGTCCCGCGCGTACACGTGTACACGTGCGCCCCCCTGTACTCGGGGGTACACGTGGTGGTACTGTAGAGCATCGAGCTCTACAGTATCCGATCCGATTCTGAGTTGATCTAATCTAAGATAAAGCCCCAGGGGGGGGGTTATACTACACGTGCGGCTTCAGCAGTGTTCTTCGTCAAACTTTCTCTCGAGTCTGCAAAGAATTCATTGCTGAGAATGTTCGCTATGCTATTGTCGTTTATGCACAGCTGGGGAGGAGCTGCATGATTCTGATGACGTTGCAGCGCCCCCTCAAGCTTTGGAATGAACCTGTTTGGCTCTCTTTGTATCTCCAGGAAAGGAGGGTGCCGCCTTCGGATTATGTCACGATAAACAGGCACATCTGCCCCAGCAACTAAATGCTTGCACAGTAGAAAGGGGCTTCGAAGATAAGCCGGGCATGAGCATGTCCACGTGTCCTTGTCCACAATATAAATCCCTCGAATTTTCGTTGTGGCACATCTCTTCCATTCCTCGACAAATTCTCGCCACCAACTGGGCTTCTTCCTTCCATTCATCAGAAGATGGTAGTCCGATGTATACTTGCTCAATAGCTTACTGTCAAGAACATAAAGCAAAAGATCTACTCTGGGGCGGTTGTATGGCAATAAATAAAGGCGCTTCAGAAGTGACCAGTGCGACTCGCACATCATAGTTGTCTTCGAAAGGGGTATCAGGGAAGCATTTCTACGACCCCAACAAAAGAATATGTTATCATCATACCAATTCTGTAGCAGATAATCCTTGAGGGTGCTTTCTGTTCCAGACGAGAAGAAGGTGTGGAGCTCATCTTTGGCTTTCTCTTTTGCAAAAAGCATGGAGAAGTGCTTGTCAAAAAAGGATGCCGATTAAAGTGCAGGGTAATCAGGTCCATCAGCGCTTGCTCCTTTTCCTTCGAAAGGACGCTTTTCTTTTCTTTTCTCAGTCCCGATATCTTCTGCTTAATTGCCCTTTTCAAATGCCAAGGGCACAGAGACGGATTAATACCATACACACGCTTGATAGCGTCAAGCTGCCCGGAATCTTTGTGCGAAAAAAAGAACAGAGGACGGAAAGAGTTCAAGGTTCTATGCATAGCCTTGAAGACACCCAAAATTGTGTCTTTTCGTCTTACATTTTGTCCATGTTTGCCCCCTCCTTCGACGAAAAAGTAAATTAACGGAAACCCAGTACCAAGCACAGTACCTAACACGACAAAAAATTCCAGACCTGACCCGTTTGTTTTGTACGTCGAGTCAATGAACCCCTCTACAATCTGGTGCTGCCTGCATGAGGAAGCTCCTATACTGGTCGACAGTGCCACCGCAAAAGGAGACGATTGATGAAAAATGACATCGAAGTTTTTGCTTTCATTGGCAAAAATAAGTAGAGATTGCTTGGGATCCACTGACCTGCAAAAGTTTGAAGTGACCGTGTCTAACCAAGTCTGATACACCTGCGCGTACTGTATAAACAAATGGCCAGATGCGCGAAGATTCGCACAAATCATAAATGGTGAGCTCCTTTCCGTCGCTCGCTGCTGAACGATTGACTTGCACTCCTGCGTCAGACAGAATTTTCTCTGTGCCACTTCGTGGAATGAGTTGTGCCTAACTGCTGTTCTAGAAACAGCTCCACGTGAAAAAGAAAAAAGAGATGCCACCGCAGCAATTATACATTTGTGCAGTCAATTTTCTCCTCTTGGCATCGGCGTTGTGTCTTCTTTGACTGCAAATTAGTTGCACGGAGTTCAAGCCACGCATGTGCGTGTTATAACTGAACTTCTCTACTTTTCAACGACAGCTTTAACCTGTGTTTGAAATTCAAGAAGCGCAGCCTGATCCATGTTGCGATCTGTCGCGTACCAACATTCTACAGGAACTTTTAGATGCACAGCTGTATGAAAATGTTTACAGTGCTCCTCTTCGATAAATTCTGCTTCATGGGTAGCAACAAAGGGAAGCCAGGCACTGAAATAGACCTTGTTTGGGATACTAGTGGCGGGTTCTTGCTGGCGACAATGTGAGCAGTTTGTGCTCAGCTTTCCTCCCTTGCCCAAAAACCTGGCCATTTCCTTGTATCTTTTGCAGCGGTTGCACTTTGTCAAGCACAGAGCTCGTAAGTTGCTCAAACATGATTGGGTCTCTGTCCCCCATACCGTATTGTCCAGCGCAGAGAATACATTCTCATCAATGATGACAGAACTAGTGTCACTAGTATCTGACACGACTTTCACAATGGATTCTAGATCGGCGTAGGTCACCGTAGTTACTTCAGAAAGCGTTGAGACCACTTCTTCGAGTTTAGGGAACAAACCGTGAAAGCACTCGTGAAACATGAGTTTTGCAGGTGCAAAGTTCACTGTCCGTACCTCTCCTTTCCCAGATGACATCCCAAATGTACACAAAATGCCCGAGCCGCACTGCATATACTGGACAAGCGGTGTAAATTGGCGACAGGGGCAAGGAACAATTGCATAGAGCAATTAGAAGTACACTGGAGGCAGGCTGACTGACGATTGCGGGCGGCCGCGGGTGAGGATGAATCTGTGCCCACGCTGCGGACCGTCGCTTGTGGAGGAGCAGAAGCAAGATACAGACTCGCCTGAGGGGGGAACGGCGTCGTAATTGGGGCAGTGAGATATGATCGTAGCAAGAGTACGAGTAGAAGCGGAGACTTGCAGACACCGGTGGGGGAGCGCAAGCAGAATTGGGGCGAAGTACGGTAGTCTTTGAAGCGGAGCGGCAGGATACAGTTGTAGGACGGAGCGGGGCTCGTAACTTGAAGACGCAGATGCGTCTAGGTGGAGAGCGCGATTAGGATTTGGGCGAGGTACAGGTGGCTGTGAAGCGGAGCGGCAGGATCCAGGTGCAGGAAAGAGCCGAGCTGAGAACAGACAGGAATTCAGGAGCGCGAACGGTGCGAAGCCGAGGCGAAGGGTACGGTCGAAGGTGGAGGTGTGCGACGATCACCCCGATCACCGCCGGCGGAATTACCGTACCAATGACGTGGATCGGGGCGCTTGTGTGTGTTTGCCGGACCGTTGTGTCTCACCGAGGGCCTGATCCAGGCCGCAATTGCGCGCCGTTGTGCGCAATCAATTTCATGCGAAACTTTGGGCGAAATGTGGGTATTATTTTTCACCTCTGAAGATTATGCATAATTGAACCAGCCAGAAGGGTACAGAGATAAACATCGATAGAGTGACCCCTTGTCACAGTGACCCCCCTCGGTATAGTGACCGTTAGAAAAAAATTTCTTGCCACCATTGCGCTGAGTGGCCGTAAGGCCCACTTTTGCTTTTTACAGTGACCCCCTCACTATAGTGACCTTACCTGTACAGTGACCCGAAAATTTAGAGGGTCACTGAAAAAAAGGTATATTTTTATTAAAATTTTAACGGGTCACTCAAGAGGAACTCTGAAAAAATGAATCTAGGGTTGACAGAATGCGGTTTTGCTCCTGGATGGGCTTGAAGCTAGGGGTGAAGGTTGATTTCAAGGGTGCTTTGTGTCCCTGTTTGCTTATTTTTCACTTATTTTTGCAATGATTTCTTTTCGCGCCAGCTTAACGTGGCATTTTATGTTTGCGAGCCCCATTTTTATTCGCCATTTATGTTGTCAGGCCTGTAAGATGGACTTCACCCCTTTGTTTTGGGGTCTGTGCGCCGTCTGCACCCTGCTCCACTACAGTGACCCGCTCCGGTACAGTGACCCTTATGCCTATTTCGGGTCGCCACCTTTGGGGGTCAGGGCGTGTCTTAACAGGCTGGTTTTTGCTTTGCCTTGCCCGGTTTTGCCAGGAATACTTTTAAATTCTTAACAAATACCGTATGCTTCTTAAGCCGTTGCTTTTCTTAAACACATAAATTAAAACGTAGGAGCCACTCATAGCGCGCCAAGTCACTTCTTTGGGCAAGGCAAAGCAAACCGCAGCAAAACGGGGCATGTTAAGACACACCCTCACTGTATCGATGTTTATCTCTGTACTGTACCCAGGGTATTGTAGGCATCGAACCGGTACACACCAGTGATGGCCTGCAAAGCCAAATTTACAGTACGGCAACAGTTCAGTTTCTACTGCGCCAAGTGTGGTGCAACTGCAACCAATCAAACCCTTTGAAGTGCTTCCCGTCCTCAGGTACTGAAGGGCCCCCTTCGTACATCACGGTGCACTGGGCCCTTTGACACAGTCGCCCTTTCTGTGTCCGGGTACGCTCTGGCCAACCTCGCAACGGCGTTGCTTCACCAAAGCTTCATTCCTTGCATTCTGGTCCTCATATCTGTACGTCGCCGACCCAACGGCCAGGACGTTGAGGTTAGTCCTGCTCTATCATGCCCTCCGATGTCGATATTCAAGAGGTCAACTGGGATCGTCTAGTATGGACTACGGACCAGGGATCTGTGTTGGGTCAAGGTTCTTTCGGAGTTGTCTACCTTGGTGCACTCGATGGCTCACCGGTTGCTATCAAGGTTGTCAAGCCCTCAGTGCGCACCGGAAGTCTCAGTGACGAAACGAATGCAGAGGCTGAGGCATCGGCTATGAAGCAGCACCGACGTGAGATTCACAGACTCGCCGCAATGCGCAACCCTTACGTAATTCAGTATCTTGGCGTCTTCCGCAATCCGCAATCGCGCGCCCTCTATATTGTCACGGAGTATCTGGAGGGTCGCTCTCTTCACGAATCCATGTGTCGTATGCGTGCCCGTAATGCTGTTCTAGACGAGCGTTCTTTCCTGGCAATTGCTGGCCAGATGGTTTATGGACTCAATCATGTTCACATGCAACTGTACACGCACGGTGACATTAAGCCTCAGAATATTCTGCTTTCAGCACCACTTACAATGACGAAAGACAAGAGCGGTGCATTCACTGCATCATTCCCGCAGTCGGCAAAAGTTAAAATTGCTGATTTCGGCTTATCAAAGCGCCTAAAGGGTGCAAAGAATGTTTTTCTCAATGACATGACAGTTGCCACTAGTGAGTTTGGAGAGGGGCCGTGTGGCACATACCTTTACATGGCTCCAGAGGTGTTTGGAGGTGTTGCTCAGTTATCAGATGCTGATGCGAAGGCTGCTGATATCTATGCGTACGGTCTTATTTTGTTCGAGCTACTCTCTGGAGTTCAAAGTTGGAGTCTGGAGGGCGTGCGAAACATTATGCAGTTGTCTTGGTGCGTTCACGAAGGGAAAAGACCATCTTGGGGGGAGAGGCGGAGCCAAATCAACCCGAAGTACATTGATCTCGTTGAACGATGTTGGAGACACGAACCAAGCAAACGACCAAATGCAGGAGACGTTGTTGTAGAGATCAAGGCGTTGAGTAGCTCTTTTGAGGATCAATCTGTCGAAGTAGTTGCTCAGCCCACACTGACTGCGGAGGCCACTCTATCTCCTTCGCCAAATGCTACTCCCTCGTCCCCAAGAGATGAACGCGTCAACGTCAAGCCCAAAGCATCTTCTTCTCGACTGGGAAACGACAGCGGCCGAGCAACACCCTCTCTACCGCCGGAGATTCATGGCGGGGATTTCCCCAATAGGCATGGTGAGGGGGCGTTTGCGGCATCAACTGAGCTGAAAGCAGGAGACTCCCAGCCTTCACGGAGAAGACACGGAAAATGTGCTCAAGATGAGCTGCCTCAGCCAGTTTCAAGAGATCCAATAGCTGTGCAGGATAAAATTCCATCTAACCCGGTGACAATCCCCAAGATCCGAAGGCTCCATATCGTTGGGACAGAATCGCAAAAGTTGGAGGCGCCCTCGAAGCCTACAGGTTCTTGTGCTTCTTTCCATGATGACGGCGTCCGCGGAGAGCCCTCTGAACCCACAAACGATACGTACGCTTCCACGGGCGTCCATGTGCCTCCAAAGAATAATTCTGCAACTTCCGCAGCCCCTCTACAAATAGGGGCAAGTGACAATCTATGTCCTGCGAGACTCGATACGCTCAATGACGTTAGGATGCCACAAAAAGAAAATAGACATCCTAGTAACGCAGTGGAGAACCTCCGAAACGACCAAGCTCAACCCATCGACGTTTTGGAAGCTGGGCATGACTCACATGGAATTGATGACAGCTTTCTTGGTGGCGTACAGGTCATGCGTGTTCAGACTTTCTGTCTCCCAACCCCATCCCCACTACAGGTCCCCCAAGATCCTGAAGGGCGAGCTACCATGGGGACTGGTTCCATTGAACCTAATGCTAGACCACCCTCTTCTCAAGAGAGAAGATCCGGCGACGATATACTGAATTCATTTATTCAGTGTGGAAATAGCGAGGTGCATGTGGACGAAGACAATGAGATGCCCAAATGCGATGTCTCCGATATCGGAGGTGACTACTCTTTGAATGAAGAATCGAAGAAACGCACACTGCCTAAAGTGCAAGGCTCATCCACAGTTGAAAGGAATTCAGCGAAGGACTATAGGAATAGCAGCATAGGACCAATTGCTAGTGACGGTGGCGCTGTACGTGGCCTTCCTGTTGTGGCAGAACTGCCTTTACCGCTGCTGCAGCTCGAAATTAAGGAGCAGTCGCAGTGGCCGATGGAACGGATACAGTTGAAACCAAAGTCAAGGGAAACGCCATCGTCTGAAACTCACAATGTTCGAGTGGATGAAGAGCGGCGGTTCTCGTCAAATGTTGCTAGACCGCAGCACCAAGTCGTTCAGTCGCATCTACCGAGGTCGCCGAGTGAGGGGTTCTCAATATCTCCCACTGGAATGGGAAACGTGGTTCTATCACCACCACCTGATCCCAATTTAAACACCCATGTGGAAAGTATTAGATTCGAAGATGCCACCATTCGTGCGCAGAAAGAACGGCCTTTGACTACCCTCACCTCGTACCAACCATATGGAACCATGACAGGTCAAGGGGCGACAGCACCACTACTTTCTGAAACTGGGTACGGGGCTACTGGATCAACTATGTTGCAAACTCCGACGATGTCGAAGATTCCTACAAGGCTGCCTGGAAGACCTGAGCATAGTACCCCAGGCTGCCACAATTTTGAAAACCTAATGACGAAGCAATGTCGTTTATTAGTACCTCACAGCGATATGGAAGAAGTTTGTCACGCCCTGCGGACCCCAGATGCCGTCAAGCAGTTGGGCGTATTATGGAATCAAGGATGTACACAAGCAGTGGCTGGGGCTCTTGCGCAAGCTCACGATTTGAAAGGAGGCGATTTTCTATCACTGACATGTGATTTCCTTGGGCCGCACTCATCGGGCAAGCACGATCCGTTTGTGGACATGGGACTGTGCACTGCAATTGGAAACATCTCTCGAAATGCCTCTGACAGTATTAAACCACAGTTGGTGCTGCAGGCTCTTCGAGTGACAGTCTCAACAATGTTCGCATATCGGACAACCTTCGCGAAGAATGAGCTTGCCAGTGTTGAATTGTACACGTCATGCAATTTTGCGCTATGCAATTTGCTGAAGGTCAATAATAGCATTGAGGATGTGAAGCTAAGGTCGGATTTGGCCAAGTGGATCTTGTACGTTATATCATGGAAGATATCCGACAATGGTTCGGCAAGGGGAGCGCAGGCAGATACACTATGTTATGAGGCGACTTGCGCTGCACGAAACTTTATGTGGAGGAATGAAGCCAACGCACAGGCGTTTACAGAGGAGACAGGAGTCAGGGATGCCCAGCTGATTGAGAGTTTAATCGCCTCAATGAAGCAGTTTGATTGGAAGGGCAACGGACCATTGTCAGAAGCTTGTTTATCAGCTGTTGCAGTGGCAATAACAATACCGCAACATCGAAAAGAATTTATGAATCTTCAAGGTATAGCTCTGGTTTTGGGGGCGCTACATGGACGTTTAGATGAGGTGAAGAAAGCCAAGGTAGGATTATCAATGATAACCGCCCTGATTGTTTGGTCGGGGAATCGCATGGAAGAACGAGACATTTTAGAGGATGTGTGCGTGAAGGACCAGGTGTGCGTTCGACTGCTCAAGTTGTTGGAAGTGATGCAAAACCCTTGGAGACCAAACCAGACAAAGCTTGAAGCTCTAAGCATTGGTTATGGTACATTATTGCGGTGCATGGAATTGGGTGAACAACTCCATGAAAAGAATTTGTACGAAACGGCAGTGCAAATGACTTCTCTGACTGTTAAGAAGCTGTGCACGTCTAGTGAAAATGGCAGTGGAGTGTTGAGGGCCCGGAATGATCTGTGTGTGCAGGTTTGTGACGTTCTTCAACTGCTGGCAAGAGAGCCTAGGGCGCGGCTGTTGTTGCAGCAAGAAACAAGTGTATATCTCAAACAGCTGATGGGAGACAGGGGGCACGACGAAGCGGTGATAGGTTGCATGCGGACAACGCTGAATATATTGGAGAAGTCGCAGTAACTTCGATTTGTGCAAGTACGAGACCGTCAAGGACGATCTGATGTCATTCTAGTGTATAAAGATGTATGTATGTAGTGCCATGATATGCACTGTAGAAGACACCTTATACTTTACCGTACTGCACTGAAGCATATGCTACAGTGCACACACAACTGTACGGTCTTCACCCGCGAGTGCCTTGTTTATCATCGCCATCTTAGATGGTGTTGAGAGAGTTTGTAGAATGGGAGCCGAGGGTGAAGAGGGTGCGAATGTACAGTACTGTACACTGTAGCTCTTCGTTGTCCCAGGCAACTTCAGAAATATCATTTTACACGTGGACACATGTATAATGGGTGGCATGAGGCAATTGGACAGTTGGTGCAGGGCCACGTCATTGGGTCCTTGCTGTGGGGGGGGCACACAGCTTCTTCATGCCTCTTCAGGCATCACGCTGCGTTTGCGCGCAGCAACGCGAGTGGCCGCGGCGCCCACCGGCCTGCGAGTACATGGCTGGCGTATCTGCTTCGCAACCCCTGTGGCCCGTGGGGAGGTGCTTGCTCTCACTCGGAAGTTGACAAGTTTACACTGGCCTGTCACAGTCACTGACCCCTCCCACGCTCCTCCACAATTTTTTCCTCCACCACCTCTTCATTCTCCCGTTCTCGGCCCTCAACTTCGCCACCCCCCCCCCTGGCCACAACCCACAACTCAAACCGACTGCAGAATTCCCCTCCCCCTCACACAACGAGAAGGCACACGCTCCTTCACCTAACGTCATACCGACTCCGCTGAAACCTGGGCAAGCACGCAAGGCTTCCCGATCCACAACGGCAAAGCATATTGCAGTAGGCTATCATGACTTCTGGTCCCACCCAAGAAGAAGATGACGAAGATTCCATTTACTCGAGCGAATCTATCCAAAGCCCCCATCCCGTCCATCCGCCGGAAACCATGCTAGACCCAAGTCTACCCCAAACAATACTCCTCGACAAAAGCCTGGACGAAGACGACATGCACTATTTCCGCGAAAACATACAGGATTCAGAGGAAGGTTCTAAATTTGGTTCCGTCACCGTACTGTCCTCAGACGAAGAAAGTGGGCCGCACACGAACCACGTGCAAAGAAACACAGGCCCAGGCATACCTTCCCCTCCCCGATATCCCTCCGCTTCAGACTTCGTCGATGATGAAGGGATAGATCTAGGGGGGCTCAATGGCGAAGATTCCCTTGCACACCATTTGGAAAACCGACTTGACATTGAATCCGGATCACAAGAACCCCAACCTCCATCTAAAACCATGAGCCTCCAACAAATTGATGAGCAGGATGATATGTTTGATTCCGACGAGGAAAGAATTGATGTCGAGTCACTAGAGTCTTCTAGTGAGTCAAGTCGATCTGCTGATGGTCAAGTAGACTTGCGGCACAGGGAATCGCGGTTGCCCGCATGCAAAATGGACGGAGCGTTGCCGGAAAATGTCAATGTGAAGACTACCACTTTACCCACGTCGCGTAGTGAAAAGCAATCGGTAATTAATGGCGGTGGTGGTGCCTACTCTTTACTAACGCGTGCCAGTCAGACATTCTACCGAGCTTTCAAAAAGTCGTCCAAGAAGACAGCTCCTGTCGCCGTACTGAATGGCTCGTCAGGACATAGTGGTTCGAAAGAGGCAATGGAAGAGTGCTTACAAGTGAATGATGATGAGAGCCTGCGGCATGAGCGAATCATACAGTTACTGGAAGCCCAAATCGCGACCTTGAACGGGGCTCGAACTGGATTTGTCGATCTGCGGCTGTTGAAGCCGATGACAGAGAAGACGATAGAAGCAATCGAGAGAGATGGAAAGCTTCTCTTAGAGGATTACGGTGACATGGAAAAGCGATGCCGTAAATTGAAACAGAAGCGAGTTGAAGCGGAGGAAGAAGGAGAAGCTGAGCTGAAGGTGAAGGAGAAAATGTTAATTAACGCAAAAATGCGCCTTGCAGAAGCGCACGCCGAAGTTGACGGTTTGCGACATGAGCTGCGAATTGCGCAGCGCTCCCTGGAGACTCCGGAACGCCAAAAGGCGTGGAAGAGAGAGGAAAGAAATAATAGAAGAGAAGTAGCTGATGAAGACGTAGTTGCCATGAGAAAACAGCGCAAGGCTGCTGAAGCACAAGCAGATGAACAAAAGTTGCTGTTGCAAGCCGAGACGACCGAGTTAGAGCGATTAGAGAAGCGTTATCGGGATTTTGAGGGAGATTGGGCCTGACCATGCGACCTGATTGTTAAGGAGCCCGGCTCGCTCATCAAATGGCGATATCAGCAAAAACAGAGCGCCAGCACTCGGCTGCAATAAGAGTCCATAACACCATTGGATCAATGGCAGTGCATTGTCAACGAGCCACAACCCAAGCTATTTCAAAGTCGGACTTGACTTTGTTGACCTCTTATTTCTCAAATGCAGTTTACGGTCGGCCGCAGTCCGTGCCTGCGCATGTCACCGACGGCATTTTGGCGCATTCAATTGTTCTATTCTGCGTGTACAGGAGGGAATCATCCGCAACTCGGACTCATATGAATATGCGCTTTTCTCGCCAAGGAAAGAGGTTTCGTGCAGAAATGATCGAGGTATCCATTGCCTAGACGAGGGCCAAGGATCCGACGCTCATTGTATTCAGGTACGATGCTCATCCAATGCCAAGCGAAAAGAGACCATTCCATTGAAAGTCACTGATGTTGAGGACGCGAGAGTGTGAATGTGTAAGGAGGTAAGGACGTTAGCGTCTTCTTCTGCTGATTTCTATCGAGGTCCACACCGGGACAGAGTGCCACTTCATGGTTTGTCCTGATCTCTAAAGCGTGTACTCGAATGGAAGGAGTACACTTTCAGTTCTTAACCGTGTCGAGGCAAGGACTCCTCGCGGACGTTACAGAAGTCATCATCGCAAAGGACATATCTGTTCAAATTTGGGGGGTTTCGCCTCATCTCGAGTCCAGGAGCCTTCAATAAGATGCCTGTTACTCTGTGCGTCAACAACAACGAAAACTTTCTACCTGACGTTTTTGCTTTTGAAACGTTTTAAGGCAACAAAAGCTGCCATTTGAATGGTTCTCACGGATCCATGAATGCGTCTTCGGAAAAATGCACTCGGACGGGTGGACATAGTTGCTCATGCATCAGAAGCAGAAGTAAGGAATTCTCGCCGGCATTCAGACGGACCATCTGCCGTCACAAGTTCCACCTTTTACGAGCTGTGTCAGTTGAACGTCCGAGGATCGGCCGGGTCGCGGCCAACGACAAGTTGCAAGCGTAACCATGTCAACAGCAAGGCGTTGATGCAGTTCTTATGGGGTAAATGTCACCTCAGCTGCATGTCACCCTAAGCTTGAGAGCCTCAGAGTGTTCGTTTAGTGCGAAAGAACAACCGTATTGACTAGGAATACAACGAAGGCCTACCAATATTTACATATTGCGTTTATTGCTATGCAAGTATGGTTTTGAGTTTGATTTGAAGGAAAGGCCGATGTTGTTTGCCATTTTTATCTGGCTCGCTTAGACAATCATGGGCCCGACTGTGGCAGTCCATCATGAACGAGGTGTCAGTGAGGTGTCAGTAAGATAATGTGTTCTGAGAATATACACACTGCACCTTTCAGTAGCTCGCTTTCATGATGCACTGCGTGACTCATGCACCTGCAGAGCTTCTCAGAGATTCTGAACTTTTCGCAGCCTCATCTTGAATATTATCCAAGCGTGGTTTCCGTCGTTTATCACTTTGAGAATTGTACCCTGCCTTGTTCCATTTTGGGTAGAAATGTTGGATGGAAAGTAGCTGTTGTCCATTACTGAGAGGTGACGAAGCTTTACTAAATCTGAATACGGTAATACGCAAGTCGTTGAGATTGAAATTGCTGATATCAATGACACATGAAGCAGTGATGCAATCAGTGAATTCACAGAAAGAGCATTAGATAGGCTTCGTGGGCTCGAATATATACATATATACTGGCGAAGTACTATTTTGTGCTGCACTAAAGTTTTGTGATTTCCAGAGCTGTCCGTTCTGAGGGGAAATCAATTCGGCGTACAGTTTCCACCCCTGTAACGTATTTAGGATGCCGCCACCAACCAATAATGCCATGAATCTTTTGAAATTCGAACCACACATTGGGAGTACATTAGCAGGGCTCTGCTTTGCTCGCACGGCTGTGTCTTTGACGTAACTTGGTTCTGCACCGACAAGTCTCTGTTGGTTTCGACGAGAAGCACGCAAATGTTCAGCGAACAATCTATCGTGTTTTGAACATCATTTTGGAGTCCAACGCGGCGCTCCTTCCCAACAGTCTCAGGAAAGTACGAGCAGAATTCACCAAGCAGTCCGGCCATCACAACAAAACCCTGCACGGACTCACCTACACCAAAAATCCCTCGAACAGAAGAAACGATGGATCGCACGTTTGAATGACAGGAGTCCTCATAGATGAAGTACGGAAAGTCCCACTCGCCACCCTCAGCATGCTTCAAGAAGCGTTGTTTGTCCGGTTGGTACATCAAACCCTTGCAAGAGATTCCGGACCTGCCATGTGGTTGGGAATGGATGTCAAAATCCTCGGAGCGCATGACAGCTCCTTTTCTCCCGACAAGGACTCGAGTGTGGATAACTTCGGTCCGGAAATTGGAAAGAGAGTCATAAATTTTCTCGAGAAAGATCTCACAAGCATGACAACTTTGTGGCAGCCGCGGTTTCGGTATGGCTGGCATGAAAGGCTTTAACGTGGATGAAAGTTGTCATCACATCGGATTGAGGCGTAGCAAGCGGTAAAATAGGACAATACCGATTTGACGGCGCCTGCACTATTTTTGAAAGTCGAAACAAACATTGGTAAGTATTCCTTAAAGGTACGGATTCGGGATCCGGAGAGGTGGATATGACAGCATGTGTTAGCAAAGTGATTCTGGATCGAACTTCAGACGTGGTTTCCGAATCGTATGAACTACAAAGCGTGATTTCGAGCGAGTTGAATGTTTTGAAAGATTGCGATCAGAGCATCACCAAGGAGGAATGCCTGGGATTTTTTGGAAGACTTCAGTTGGACTCCTTGCATCATTTAGAGAAGCTCGGAGCCGAGGGATTCCAGGTTCTTGGCCCGCGAGAACTGTGCAATGCAGTGAATTCTTGGATTAAAGACGAAGATCTAATTGAATGTCAAGCATACCTCACGGGCGATTATGCTGAATTGGCACCGAAACTGAAAGCAGAGATGGAACAATTGCAGGAATACATATCATACCGCTTACGCTCACGCATGAAGATTTTGACAACCGGAACCTAGGTATGAAGAAAGGACGAGACGGTTCGCAACAGCTTTTTGTATTTGATTGGCAATTCGCTGCAATATCGCACCTATTCTTCGACTTGCGAGAAATACACGAGGAGCAAAAATCTCGAAAGCGGAGAGGCGGTGCTATCTAGAGGTGTGGAGGGAATACGAGCCACTGGAGCGATGTGAGGAACTGTACGAGATCGCGTCCCGACTGGGATGGCTCCTGAAGCTTCACGGAATCGTACGAGATAACACAAAGCGACCAGAATTACGGTCTGAATTGTCTTCTGCGTTCAGTCAGGCTGTTCTGAGAATGCATTCGCATCTACTACAGAACGTCTTGTTCAAATGATTAATCCACACATTTTGCACAAGGTTTGGTGTCGTGCGGCTTTGGGGGTAGGGAGTACCACTCCAGAAAAGTATTATTTGGTAAAAAAGGCTAATTTGGTGATTCAGTTCTCGTTGCTTCCACTGTACGAAAGCATGCCGCTGAGGTAAACTCAGTGCGGACAACGGGTACAGTCATTCATCCCTGGACTCCAGGGAAGCGCTCCGGGAAGTGGAGCGTTCATCACGTCTACAGTTCCCCGCAATGTTGCCTCTTCGTCTTCGAAAAGTCCGCTTCACTTGCAATAAAAGGGGCAGAGATGCTCCTATCATGATAGCGTTAACAAGATTGTTATGAATGCAAGTGCTCCCAGACCACAAGGACCAATAGAAAAGAGTCACACGGGCAGAAAGAAAATATTCAGCTGGGGACGCCGGCAATTTATCGGACATTTGGCGATTTTATTGCGCGCAGGAAACAGAAAAAATTTGAAGAGGATCGGCTACAGCGACAAAAGGCGGAGGAGAAGGCTGCCCGGCAAAAACAAAGAGAACCGCAGAAAGAACAGAAAGCAGAAGCGAAAAAGCTGAGGGAACAAAAAAGTCTGGAACGCATGAAAAGTGGTAAGGCCTCAAAGCCTGTCAACTCAACCAAGAAGCGGGCACGATCAACTCCGGTCCCAAAGGCGCACGAAGGCCCCTCCCCAACGTGCGTCAACTCCTCACCATTCCCCATCGACGTTGTCCCGTCCGCGTTACTTGGTCTCTCTGGTGCCAGAGTCGCATTCAGGAGAATACATCCCAATAATGGCCCTGGGTACCAGAGCCTGTGACCCAGAGCCATACAACTTTGGTCCCAACTACCAGGGCTCATGGCTCCGTAAAATCCTGGTTGACAATTGATTTTTCTGATATTCGCCTCAAACGGCACTCCCATTGGTCCCGGTGGTGGACCTTGTTGGATCCTGCAAGCAAGGCCTCAATGAAGGAATATTTCCATCCACCCTCGATCGGAGCTGTAATGCGATCCGGCATCTTTGAAAAGGTTGATGAATGTTTCTGAAGTTTCAAAGGTTCCCAAAGTGCTGCCGAAAGTTTGAGCAACTTTTTCTGCGAAACTCAGAAACATTCTGGAGACGTGCACCCTCGCATTAAAACGTTTGCGGAAATTTTAGGCGAAACTATAAACGTCCGTGCAAGTTTTGGAAAGACGTGGTCACAAGCATAACTGGACTTACAGTGACAGGTATTTCCCGTAGCGATTCCATCATGCTTCGTCCACTGTTGGCAGTGGCGCACCAATGATATTTAAACGATTAAAAATGCGCTACAACACGGCATACCAGGCGAGCTGAGTCATGGACCCAACACCAGGGGCAAAAATGAGACGGGGCCAGGGCCAGACGTCTCGGAGCGGATGACCGCGCAGGACCTATTCTCCTGATCGCGACTCTGCCAGTTGTCAATTGTAAAGGCACACTCGCGGTGTGCAGCATTCATATGTTGCATTACAGAAGCCTTACACGTGTATGACTGGTGTCTTCTGTACACTTACCTTCGTAGTTTACAGTGCTGCCGACTGTTGGCCTCGATTAATTCCGTCGGTCACATGAGTGCAACCGTATCAAAGGTCGCGACCGGTTCGTTGACCGTTAGTGAAACATTATCAGCAAGGTTCACGGCTATGTTTCGGTGTATAGATATTGAGTCCTCTACCTCCTAGACGGATTGAGTAAAGAACGAATCAGTAAACAAGTGCATTTTATTGCTAACCTTGGCGGAGCTCTCCTGTGCGAGCGTCCGGGCTTTTCGTTCTCACCGACTCGCGTTTCTATTCAAGGAACGGCGTAGGCTCCCGAGCGCCTACTGTCAGAGTCAGCATCACAAGGAAGCTCAGAGGAGTTTTCCGACATTCCGGAATTAAAGAGAACTTCATCATTAAGAGCCGAAGAAGTCAAGAAAACGCCAAACCGAGCTACATAGTACATATAGAATATGCCACCCAAGCAGAGATTGACGGCGCAGGCACGAGAAGGCGCACGATCGATGGCTTCTGCAGAAGGGGTTCCAACCCCCAGCTCGCGAGCGCCGAATCAAACTCCATTTGGAGATATTTTGTTGAGCAATGCGCAACAAGAAGGTCTGTACAACCTCTTCGTAGGGTATTCTACCCAAACGCCTGTTCCACAAGGCCACAACTTACTCAAATTAGGGAAGACATGGAACCAAGAGAACTTGTTCGTCCGAATATTGCAGTTAATTACGAAATCTATAAAAAGATTCGTACTTTCCTTAATGTGAATGGAGTGGAGACCCCTGAGACGAGTGAGTCTGGAAGGCTCATTGTCAGTCGCCTCATTTGCAGTATTTGGCATATGTCTGAATATGAAGAGGAGAGAAATGCCTCGATTGCACAATTTAAGGCGATTAAGCGTGAAGAATTTCTGCATTCCCACTCTGCTGTTGTTGATCCAAATGTAGTGACTTATCAACCAGCAATTCCTTCCCAGATTCAAGACTCGAATACTGTAGTGGAAGGTGGGAGAACACGCTTTCAGAATGTCACCTCACATTCCAACGCAGGCAGTACTGCAAAGGGCATGAGTACAGCATATTCGAATGAGAGACAGCGTTTCCATGGAAAAGGTGATGAAGACTGGCTTACGAAGCTAAGTCGATATCAGTTTATATGTGAGCAGAACAGTGTCACGGGCCAGGAAAAGGTTAAGTACCTTCACTACTTCCTCGATGGGGCCGCCTTACAATTCTTTATTAACGAGATTGAAGGTAAGGTGCAAAACTATGGAGAGGTGATCAGATATTTTCACGATCGATATGCTTCAGCAGCGAAACAGAACTACATTTCCAATCGTCTCAGTGAAGTACACAGCTCCCAGTTCGAAAACGAGGAGGAATCTTCTGAGGGCAAGGCATTCAGGAGAACTGTAGACGAAATTGACAGGCTGACGCCAATTTCCCACCCCGAGGACAAGACAGATCGCGCCAAGTTGCTTCATTTACAAGCCGCGGTTGTCGGCAGAGATTGGGCCAAGACTGTTTTATCAAATGTGTCCGCTAGTGATTTGAAATACCACAACTTGATAGAACGCCTTGAATATGCCCTACAACAGGCCAACCGTCACGATGAAGCGTCAAAAATATTGTCCACAGGGGGAAGCAACCGCTTGCGCACAAGTCGCTGGAAAAACGTCAACTTCGCAGGGCAAGGACGATACGGAAATGAACCACTGAGCAGAGCGTCTATCATTCCCCGCCACGGCGCTGGGCGAAGCAGCGTAAGAAGCCCCCAGAACCGACACAATTGGAGAGGCACTAGCACTTCAGACTCCCCACACCGTTCCGCGATGACGTGTCACAATTGCGGGCAAGCGGGGTGTCGATGGTACAAGTGTAAACATCCACTCTATATGGATCGTGTAGTTCGCAATCGCCTGAAGAACGTTCACCGATCTCCAGTGAATGTTCATATCAACGAGGTTGTGGATGACCTGGCCCAGGAAATGAGGGAGTGTGTACTGAATACAAACTACTCGCAGGATGAAACCTGCGATATGGACCAACAGACGGGCGCGTTGATGACAGAACTCGAAGAAAACGCAGCAGAAGAGTTCAAGGTCAACCAAAACACTACAGAAGTAGCAGAGAGCCTAGAGCAAGACTTTGGGAAATGTCCTGATCAGGAAAGGCAGATTGATGACCAGGGTTTTTGAGTCGGGGCTTGAATTGCCGGCTCGTCCCGCTCATTAGGCACGAGAAACCACCTGACCAAATCCTTTCCTCCTTGAAGCCGAGATATACTAAACGTCATTTGCAGAAATGCCGATTTGTCGGTGGAACGCGAATACCACCGCAGAACTCAAGCCCTTTCTTCTCCGCTCGCATATTCAAAAATGTTCTTAAGGTCAACAGCTCGAATTCAAATCTGCAATACAATGCACACACATTCGTGGGTGCATGTGTGGACACGGGTGCACAGAAGTCAGTCTGTGGCCTTTCTCAGGCAAAGGCGTACTGTCGAGAAAAACGTATTCCGTTCCGTTTACAAACCTCACCGTTCTCTTACAAGTTCGGAGATGGTGTCAAAACAAGTTTGGGAAGACTCAACGTAAGAATTCCTATTTCAGAAAGTTGTTTTATTCCATGTTCAATCGACGTGGTTGACGCAGATGTCCCTCTTCTGTTGGGCTTAGACTTTCTCGATCGGCACGGCTTGATAGCAGATAATGTAGAAAATGTGCTCATTAGCAAAGACGGAGGATGGAAGCTCCCCATAACCAGAACGCATGGACATCTTTTCGTTCGATGGGATACTAAGAAAATTTTGTACAGTCGTATGGAACTAGAACGACTTCATCTCCATTTCTTTCATCCTTCTGCGCAAAAGCTACTTTCTCTATTGAAGCGTGGGACACCAGATAGGATACAGCCAGACACATCTCGTCTAATTCAAGAAATAGTTGACAAGTGTCAAAGATGCAAGCGATTCGGCACGAGGCCGTACAAATTTCGAGTTAGTCTTCCAAACGACGAGGTAATTTTTAACCATGAAGTTTCTATAGACTTGTTCTGGCTTTCCGGCAACCCTGTGCTCCATATTGTGGACACTCATACCGGATATCAGAATATTGGCTTGCCCAAGTCGTTGTCTGTGCAACACGTTTGGGACGCATTCTTAGAAGCATGGGTTACTGTCTACGTTGGCTATCCAATTCGCATTAGAGCAGACCAGGGATCCGTTTTCACGTCCAAGCTTTGGGGAGACGTCACTGCGCTTCACGGTATAAATCTACAGCTGTCTGGAGTGGAGAGTCATAACTCCATTGGGATCGGGGAGAGGTATCACGCCCCTATCAGAAGAATATTTCGAATTATTCGTTCACAATATCCCCGCTTAGATCCTGAAATATCGTTACGCTTGGCGGTCAAAGCAGCTAACGACACGTTAGGACCGAATGGGCAGGTGCCCTCGAAGCTGGTTTATGGAGTCGATCCGGCCTTTCCGGTGGTAAACGCCAGTTTACCTCAACAGAGAGAACGAATGGCCGCACTTGAAACTGCTAGGCGCGAGATGGCAACAATAAGTGCCGAACGACGAATTAGAGAAGCGCTTCGCGCAAAACTTCCACCTGCTACGCGGTATGATATCAAACCAGGAGACGATGTGTTAGTGTTTCGAGAAAAACCAGGTGAATGGCTGGGACCATACCGCGTTTCGAAGATATTTGAGAAGGAAGTATACCTGCACTATGAAGGGAATGAGAAACATTTCCATCTTTCACAAATAATTCCGATGCCACAGGTGCAAGGGGATAGAGAAATCAAGCGGCTTGTAGAGGGAATGGGCCAATTCCGCCCGAGTTGCGTTCCTGGCATCCTCGTCACTGAGGTTCTTCATCCATCTGACAAGAGGGCGACATCTGGAATGTTCGATG